TGCCTCCTACTGTCCCAGCCCCCAGCCCGATTACCAGGAACTGTAACCTCTTCCCCACAACGAAACCTCCCAGCGACTGCCTCCTACACCTATCAGAGACCTGGCCTCCCTTACTGCCAGCACCTACAGGCTGCTTCCCTACCGCAAACCCCTTTACCAGGACTGCGCTGCCCCTACTGTCGTCCCCCCATACCCTCAGCCGCCTCCCTTCCTACCCACGTACACAGAGAAGGTAAAACAGACAAGAGGTGCACATAAAATAGTCAAATGGAGCCTCAGGCGCAATTTCAGTTTAATGAACCCTGACATAAGAGTGTCTGCCTGAATGTAACACTAAATGCCATGTTTTCTCTATTGCTTCTATTCCTCTTATATATATATTTTAGTCCTATGTCTCTCTTTCGCATACATACATACATACCATACATACATAAATATTCATACATACATATATGCATAACCATAAACATACATTTTACAACACACGATGCATATAATATAATATAATATATATATATAATATATATATCTGAGAGAGAGAGAGAGAGAGAGAGAGAGAGAGAGAGAGAAGAGAGAGAGAGAGAGAGAGAGAGAGATGAGAGAGAGAGAGATGAGAGAGAGAGAGAGGGGGGAGAGGAGAGAGAGAGAGAGAGAGAAGAGATGAGAGAGAGACGAGAGAGAAGAGAGAGAGAGAGAAGAAGAGAGAGAGAGAGAGAGAGGAGAGAGAGGGGGGAGAGAGACAGAGACAGAGACCAGAGACCAGAGATGAGACAGAGACGGGGACCGGCAGAGAGAGACAGAGAACAGAGAGAGACAAGAGAGAGAGAAGAAGAAGAGACAGAGAGAGAGGAGAGAGAGAGAGAGAGAGAGGAAGAGAGAGAGAGAGAGAGAGAGAGAGAGAGAGAGAGAGATAGAGAAGAGAGATGAGAAGAGAGAGAGAGAGAGAGAGACAGAAGAGAAAGAGAACAGAGAAGGAGACAGCAGAGAGACAGAGAGGACAGAGAGACAGAGAGACAGAGAGACAGAGAGAGAGAGAGAGAAGAGAGAGAGAGAAGAGAGAGAGAGGAGAGAGAGAGAGGAGACAAGAGAGTCAAGAGAGAGAGAGGAGAGAGAGAGAGAGAGAGAGAGAGAGAGAGTTATGAGAGAAGAGAGAAGAGAGAGGGAGTTAGTTATTACTAATAAGCTTCCCCTCCTGCCTCTCGCGCTCTCTGCCCTGCTTGCTTCTTATCTGCCTGTCTCTTCTCTTTCTCTTTTCTTCATTCCATNTATATATATATATATATATATATTATATATATATTATATATATATATATATATATATATATTGGTGTGGTGTGTGTGTGTGGTGGTGCTTGGTAGTGTGGTGTATTGTATATATATATATATATATATATTATATATATAGAGAGAGAGAGAGAGAGAGAGAGAGAGAGAGAAGAGACGAGATGAGAGAGAGATGGAAAGAGAGAGAGAGAGAGAGGCTGAGACTGAGGACTGAGTTAGAGATGGATTAAAAAGTGAGTGAGAGTGAGAGAGGGTGAGTGAGAAAAAGTGACCGTGAATGCAGAGAGAGGGAGAGCGGGAGAGAGAGAAGAGAGGAGTGTCGCCCACGGAGATATTTTTTTTTGAATTCAGAAAGAGTACCTCATTTTTTTTTCACTTTCTCAAAAAAGGTTTGCTCATTTATTGATAGAATCACATCAGACAGACATGCATAGACGTGTAATATTACTGCAAATATTCAAACACAGATGCACTCGTCAGAATGAATTTTATAATACCAACATGAAAGAGAAATTGCAACAACGATATATCTCTACCTGATTTTTCCTGATTTTTACTAGCTTATTACGATACTTTAATAGCATTCCAGCCACGATCCCTCTCAGTAGCTTTCTCGCTAACTTTTAACCAACCAGTTTCCCTATAGTTATTATCATCGCTATTTTTGTTGTTTAATTAAATCGGCGGCGCAGAGTCATCATTGTTATACATTCGATCTGATAGCCTTGATTATTGACACCAATTACATTTCACTGACCATGATCATCATTATCAATAGGACTATGAGCGAGCCTCTCCCGCTCGCCAATTAAATTAACTAGTGTAATCAGCATCCTTATCATTCAATCATTGTAACTATCATTATAATTATTTTCACCGTAGTTCATCGTAGAGTATAATATATGTCTGTTTCCTCCCATGCGAATACATGATTTCAGAATATTAATTATATTCTCATTATGAAACATTTTTTTTTTTTATCCGTTTTAGAAATGGATTGAGCAGACATAATACCGTAAAAGTTCCCTTTGATCTTCCCATAATATAATTTTTTCCTGAATAATACTCAAGGCATCAAAGAGCAGGCCGCCAATCGGCTTTCGCTTTCCATATATTTATATTTTTATACTCTGCCTGTCTTTCCCTTTCGCTGTCCCTGTGTCTGTCTCTGTCTGTCAGTCTGTTAGTCTGTCTGTATGTCTCTGTCTCTCTCTCTGTTTCTGTCTATGTGTGGCTGTCTGCCTGTCTCTCTCTCTGACCATTATTGCTCTTGTTGGTTTATCATTATTACTATCATCATTGTAGCATTGTATCTCTATCATTATCATTACCATCATCACAAGCTATCGTGATTACTACTAAATACAAGTTTATTGGCATCATTATTCATTATTGTTTGTTGTTATCATTATTATTACTGCTTGTTATCATTTCATCATTACCATTATCATTATCATCATTATCATTATTATTATTATAATTGTTATTAATATCATTATTATCATTAATTCTAACAGAGAATTAGCTCGATTCCTTAGCTGTCTGCAAAGCCTTGTCATAAAGTATAAGCTGTTTCACGAACCGGCCTGTCAATATAACTTTAAACTTCGATATTAACGCATACACAAGTTCAGATATACATGCAAACATGCTCATATCCCAGCCACTGGACGAGAGGAGACGAGAGAGAGAGAGAGAGAGAGAGAGAGAGAGAGAGAGAGAGAGGAAGAGAGAGAGAGAGAGAGAGAGAGGAGAGAGAGAGAGAGAGAGAGTAGAAGATGAGAGTAGAGAGAGAGTGAGAGAGAGAGAAGGAGAATGTGGGAAGAGCGGAGAGAGGAACCAGAGAGAGAGAGAGAGAGAGACTGAGAGAAGAGAGAGAGAGAGAGAGAGAGAGAGAGAGACGAGAGGAGAGAGATGAGACATGAGAGCAAGAGATGAGAGCAAGAGAGAAGAGAGAGTAGAGAGAGAGCGAGAGAGACTGAGAGAGATGATGCGAAGAGAGAGAGAGAGAAGAGAGAGAGCGAAGAGATGAGAGGAGAGAGAGAGAGAGAGAGAGAAGAGAGAGAGAGAGAGAGAGAGAGAGAGAGAGAGAGAGAGAAGAGAGAGAGAGAGAACTGAGAGAGAGAGAGAGACTGGAAGAGAGAGCGAGAAGAGAGAGAGAGAGAGGAGAGAAGAGAGAAGAGAGAGAGAGATAGAGAGAAGGGGTATAAGGCAAAGTGAAACAAAAAGCATGAAAAGTAGAATGACACAATAAGACAGAGGAGAAGAATGTCCCAAAACAACATCAGATATTCACTCATTCCCACACAAACACACAGACAAACACACACGCAAACAGACAGATAACTAGAGCGAACAAAATCAACATATACATGTACAGTCCTGATCCTTTATTGGCTCATGTTATTAAGTAAGAATGGCCTTGTGTCAGATAAAATACAAAAATGAATTTCAAAAAGACAGGAAAAAATATATGTATGTTCGTGCTGCTATGACCACCATTTTGAGTTGTTTGTGTTTGTATTTATATATTTCCACACGTGTCGTTTAAGCATTTTCTTTTATATAAGAATACAGTTGAGGCGCCTAAGTGTACATGTATATTGAAGCGTCTATGTTCACACGTAGGCAAAGCGTAGTGTCTGTGTGCACATGTAGGCGAATCGAATTGTGTGCACATTAGGCAATCGAGGAGTTTGTGTGTAGGCATGTTGTGTGTACATGTATCGAGGAGTTTGTGTGCACATGTAGGCGAATCGAGGCGTTTGTGTGCACATGTAGGCGAATCGAGGGCGTTTGTGTGCACATGTAGGCGAATCGAGGAGTTTGTGTGCACATGTAGGCGAATCGAGGCGTTTGTGTGCACATGTAGGCGAATCGAGGTGTTTGTGTGGGAGGCGAATCGAGGAGTTTTGTTTGCACATGTAGGCGATCGAGGCGTTTGTGTGCACAATGTAGGCGAATCGACGGCATGTTTGTGTACATGTAGGCCGAATCGAGGCGTTTGTGCACATGTAGGCGAATCGACGGCGTTTGTGGCACATTTGCCGAATTGAGTTTGTGTGCACATGTAGGCCAATCGGTTTTGTGTGCACATGTGGAATCGAGGCGTTTGTGGCACCGCGGAGGCGTTTGTGTGCACATGTAGGAATCGAGGTTTGTTGCACATGTGGCGCATCATCGTTTGTGTGTCATGTAGGCGAATCGAGGCGATTGTTGTGCACATGTTAGGCGCAATCGAGGCGTTTGTGACGTGTACATGTAGGCGAATCGAGGCGTTGTGTGCACATGTAGGCGAATCGAGGCGTTTGTGTGCACATGTAGGCGAATCGAGGCGTTTGTGTGTACATGTAGGCGAATCGATGGTTGACTGTTGCCACATGTAGGCGAATCGAGGCGTTTGTGTGCACATGTAGGCGAATCGAGGCGTTTGATGTGCGAACATGTAGGCGAATCGAGGTGTTGTGTGTGCACATGTAGGCGATCGAGGGTTTGTTGTGCACATTGTAGGCAATCGAGGCGTTTTGTGTGCAATCACACATGTAGGGAATTCGAGGAGTGTGCATCGTTGTTTGTGTGCACATGTAGGCGAATCGGCGGCGTTTGTGTGCACATGTAGGCGAATCGAGGCGTTTTGGGCACATGTGAATCGAGGCGCACATGTGTCGAGTTGTGTGCAACATGTAGGCGAATCGAGGCGTTTTGTGTGCACAT